GGAATCAACAACCCCTAGTGATTGAACAAATACATGTTGTAGTAACCGCACCTGAGCCAATCACAATGGTCGGGGTACAAGCGATGATCCAAATGATGTTGGATCGTCAAATGGAGGAAACAAGGCATTTACTTCAACAAAATCGAGAGGAACTTACGATGCCTATTGAATAGCCCGAGCAGAATGATGGTCAGTTAGAAGGAGGGAACTACAGTGGGACGGTTGGTCAAGCCAACCCCACGGATAGTTAGACGAAACAATCAGGATGGAGGAAATGACGGACGTTGATGCAAGTACAAGGATTTCAAGGCATCCAAAACCCTGAGTCTTTCTGGAAGTCCATCATTGGTGGAAGTTATTGACTGGATCTCCCGAGATGGAGACAATGTTCGAGGGAAAAGTCTGATTCTAGTGGGGAGAATTGTAACATCCCGACTCCCATGTATAATCTTTATTTAATTTTCATGATTTTAATTGAGCAACTCGATGAGTTGGAGGCTGCAACTCATCGAGTAGAGAAAGATTTGGCTGCGTGGGTTTTACGATCAACTCGACGAGTTTGCGTTGGGAGAGGAAACCCTAATTTCTAGGGTTGTGTCATATTTAAAGGACCTTAAGCCCTCATTTTCGCCTCCGATGACACCTCACTCCCCTGTGTGAAACCCTAATCGTCTGGAGTGATTTAAGAGAGAAAGAAGAGCTAACTTTGGGCATTCTAGTGTACCTTTGGAAGAGAAGAAAAGAGTATCAAGGCTTGGAACGAGAAGGGACTGTTGGATCCAATGTTTATTCATCTTTAGCTTATGTTGAAGGTAAAAAGTCTCCACATTGCTCATTATTTTGATTATATCTCATTTTTAGGGAGTTTTAGGGCTTTTTCCATCTTTCCTTGAGACTTTGAGTGTTTTGAGCTTGTCAAGAGATTGAGACTTCATATATGGACCTTATGAGGTCCCTAGAACCCAAAGGGCCCAACTTTATCCAGCTAGAGGAGAGCTTTTATGCTTAAGACCCTAAACGGAACTTGTTTTGGCATTTCAACCCCTAAGTGTCATGCATGGACGTAAAGCTTGCAGCTTTACGTGGTATCTCAGCCTTGGAAGGCTAGATCTAGAGTTTGGGGTTGTAAATCTACCTTAAAAAGTATGAATGAGAAAATAGATTTAAGGGACTCGACGAGTTAATGAGCCAACTCGACGAGTTGATGAGACAACTCGACGAGTAGTTGGTTTTTTCCTGGTCTTTTGGACATGCATGAACTCAACGAGTTGATGACACAACTCGACGAGTTGTGTTGAGATTTCCCAACTTTTCTGAGAACAGGAGGAACTCGACGGGTTTAGTCAACATGGATTGTTGACTTGAGCATTGACGTATGTTGACTTTTAGGGTTTAGTCAACTATGGACTTGGGAAACCATAAAGGGATAAAATGGTCTTTACACCCCTTTGAGAATCAGTGGAGAAATTAGGTTAACAATCTCGAAATAATCGCTACCAAATTGCTTATTAGAGATAATTATATTATGTAGGCGGAGTCTAGTCTGTTCTAGTTGTGCTAGAGCTACTTACTTACATACAAGGTGAGTCTTCTCACTATCCTTACCATGAGTGGTAATTTTGTGTGACCAAAGGGTATTGTATTCTATTATTGAGTCTTGTGATATCTTGTATTATGTCTTTGTGACTTATATTGTCTGTTATGCTGAGCTTTATTGAGTTAGGATCGGAGGGTGCAATCTGAGTTGTGGGACCGGAGGTTCTCCACTGAGACACATTGACCAAAGGGTCTTTATTGAGTTATAGCCATGAGATTCTATTGAGATGTGTGTGTTATTTTGGAGAACTCACTAAGCTTCGTGCTTACCATGTTATGTGATATGTGTTTCGGGTGCTTCTCAGGATCGTAGGAAGGCGTCGGCTTGATTGTACACACGAGATGGAGTCATGTTTTGAGGATCCTAGATTTTATTTAAACAATTTATGAATTTGTGTTTTTGGATAATTTAACACTTTGGGGTTTTATGAATTGTTTTATTAGAATTACGTGATTTAAAAATGAAAAAAAAAATTGTTTGAAAATTTTCGGTGTTACAGATTATGTTTCTTAAGACCCCCTCATGGCTACGTAAACCCAGATTAGAATCAGATTTGGGATTTTCAACACTATATTTTCTAGATTGTGTCAACATCCAGTAGACTGATTATAAATTGAAATTTATATATATTTTTTTTCATTTTCATGTCCAGGTCAAAATTGTAAAACTATCTCTTCGTTGGTCTAGACATGTCAGATATTAAAATACAATGATGGTATGGATCATCTTTTTCTTCAAGGATAGTTTCAGTTTTTAATTTTTTAAGGTTTGTTTTTTTTCTTGTAAAGAGAAGTGATGGTGGTAGCGTGTCATGTTTAACTAACCCATCATCATAGTTTCACCACCAGAATCATATAATGCCCGCTTCAAAACTATCCATGTACTGCCTCCTTCCACGTCTCTTTCTTTTTTCTATTTCTATCTCCTTTGTTTCCTTTATGCTCACATAATGCCTTTTACTAATTTTTTTATTGGAGAAAGATTTTTATTATAGTATAAAAATGAATGAAAATGGACATCAAGTGTTATTGCCTTCAATAATTCTTGATAACACTCTGTTTTGCCCCGCCTTCCATCATCTTTATAGGAAATGTTGGACTGATATTGATATTTTAGTCCAATATGCATTTAATCTCAACCAACTAACCTTTTTTACAAGACAAATTTGGATTAAGATTATTATTTCATGTTTTCAGCCATTGATGTCCTTTTTTTGAATTTATACAATAATGATTTCTGAAATTTGTAGCTTATTTTACAAGACCTTTCGTGCAAATGCTTCAAGACCCTCCGAGAGAGGTTATTTTGTAGCATTGCTTTAAGACCCTTTCCATGTTTTTCCTTTTTGTTAAAACAAATTCTGACCAATTCCTATCTTTATTATGTCAAAAAGAAGGAAAATATATCTCATGGTTCAAGTTGGAGTGTCTAAACCTAGATTTTAGGCGTGGCAGGTTAAGCACTGCCTAACATTACAAATGAAGCTTCTTTGTGTGTTTTTTTCTGAAGAAGGTAATAACTAAGTATGTTTTTTGCTAGATGTGATAATGGATAAATAAATATGTATTGTATTTTATAAATAAGAGATTTATTTCAAATATTGAAAGAAATTACTTTACTATATAAATCGTATATTGTAAAAACGAGAATGGTATATAGACTCTATGATTTGAAATGCATTCTCATTTATCCTATAGATTCATACGTGTATGACTCTTTTTGATCTTACATTTCTATGTAGAGAAAGAGGGGAAAAAAGTAATGTAAATAATGATACTCATAACATGCTAGTTAATAGCTCTCAAAATTATTCTGGAATTGATGGTAAATTTTTGAGAAATGTTAGTGGTGTAGGGAAAAAGACTTGGTGGTAATAAGATAGTTGGACAAGTTTTGAAGCCAATCATAGTTAGGGATCAACAAATTTCACTGAATTTTTTTTTTTTTTAATTTGTACATTAACACTATAACAATGCTTATTTACTTGCAACGGTGGAAGTTTTTGAGATTTAAAACTTTTTTTTTTTTGCTTCTTCATTTTACTTTCTTTTCATATTTTGTTTATCATGTTAAATCGAGATTATTGGGTGGATGACTCTATAGCAAGTATTACCAATCTACTTTCAATTTGAAAATTGTACGGTTGTGGTGTGTTTAAAACTGGTTTAGTAACGTACTTTTAAGTTTCAAGTTTCAGTTTTGTTTAAATCTGTTTTGGCAGCGGACTACAAACTTAATTTAGCGACAAAATTTTGATTTATCAATTTTAACCTTGTATCTCCCTTTATTTTGTACAAATTGATTATGATGATTAAATACTATAACCTTGTATAACAACCACGATAATTGTATAGACTTATAATGACTTTTCAACACCCTCCAAGAGTGGATACACATTACAGAACAATCAGTGGTAAATACTTTAAAGATCTTTACAATTACCCCACTTTTTCCTTTTTATCTACTTATACACTCACTTGTCCCGTGTTTTCTCTCAACCTAATAGAAATTCAACTGTTGGTAGCATCTTGATGTCTAGCTCTACTACTTGACAACATGTAACTTGAGGTTGATGACATTTCTATTCTTAGGTTGATTCTTTAAAGTACAATGTTGAAATAACAATATATAAAAAGTATGATGCTATCCAATCATCTTTTGCTTTGAGATAACTATTTCTAATGACTAATGAAGCATAAAAATGTGGCAATCGGGGCAAATCTTAACCGTTATGAAGATTTTCACCATTAAACTTGTAAGGGTGTTTAAATATATTTTGATAAATCAAATTTTTAAAAATTAGAAATTTCCAATTTTTATATATTTAAAAAGAATTAAAATATTCAAACATTATTTTCTTAGGATATATACAATTTTGAATAAATGTTAAATAAACTATTTATATTCTAACAAAACAAGTATATAACAATATAAAAACTGTCATTTATTAATTTTGTTACAATGTAAATAATATTTAATTTTTAAAAAATAAATTACATTACATTTAAGAGTTACTGTCTAGGCGTTGAGTAGTCAATTGACCGCCTAAAGCTATTGAAGATCTCCGTCTAAGCGTCAATCTATTTGTTTCTCATTTGTTACAATTCGAAAGCTTCATTTTTTTTATTCTTGCTGATTTATTATTTTCTAGCATAACTTTTATTGATAATTGTTTAGATATAGTAACTATTTGCACAAAAGAACTAATCCCCTCTAGAAACTAATTTCTAAAAAACTACTCTCACCAATCGCTTGACACAGGTAAACAGATAGTATATGTATGTATGTATGTATGTATGTATGTATGTATGTATATATATATATATATATATATATAGAGAGAGAGAGATCAACCTCTTCAGTTTTTTTTGTAAGTCAAGGCTCTCACTCAAATCTCAACCATTCACTTGTTTCTTTCCGATAAACCAAGCACTTCTTCACAAAGATTCTTTGCCTCTCCCTCCAGTTTCTCATGGATGACATGCATCCCTTTCAACACCTGGAAGGCTTCTTCGAACTTTAGTTGCTTCCCAACAAGAATACTAGCATGCTTACGAGCATGGAAAGAAATTTCATTCAGCGAGTGGATCCTTTCCATCAAACAGGAACGGGCCCTATAGAGGCTTTCCTCATCACAAGCATCCGCACACTCAGAACCTTTGGGGCTGGAGTTCATAGCAAAGGGTCATTGAAATTGAGGCAATGAGGCGGAAAATGTAACAAGTGTAGGCAATAGAACCTCCTTGCCAGATGAAGGAATAACTGAAATAAAGACAAAAGAAATAATCTTTTTGTAAGGGAAAAAGTAAAACAAAGAAAGAGAGTTGTGTAAAGTAAAGTAAAAGCATGGTATAAAAAACATACGAGGTTGTTCTGAACTTATCTAAATGTTTTGAATGGAGAATCATCCCTGAACAAAGTAGCAATATTAAAAATTTCCAAGAAAGTAACACTTAAACTACCTGGAGTGCCCAAACCAGGAAAAGGGGGTTTCGTTGTCACAGCCGTAGACACAACATTTGTCACATTAAAACACCTAAATCAAGCTCCAAAAATTTTTTGTTGAAAGATAGCAACAACAGAAAACGTGGAAGAAGGTTGATCTTTTGAAAATGGTTTGAGGGACTCAACGAAAGTTGGAATTTCCGAAGTAGGATGGGGAGGAACCTCAAAACCTAGGTGTACTAAACCGGTTATGATGACAAATGCAGAAATGTAAAGATCAAGTGAATCTAAAGCAATACTAAAGTAGTATTGAAGATCACACAATCTAAATAATCTCATTTAAGCTATCATTAGATCTTGTAAGCTATTACAAAGTGGGTATGCAATAATTCTCTCACTAGACTAAACGCTCCAAGTGGGTATGCAATATTTCTCTTCAGTTTTTCTTGTAAGCGAAGGCTCTCACTCAAATCTCAACCATTCACATGTTTCTTTCTAATAAACCATGCACTTCTTCAAAAAGATTATTTGCCACTCCCTCCTACTACTTATGGATGGCACACATCCCCTTTAACACCTGGAAAGCTTCTTCGAACTTTAGTTGCTTCGTAGCAAGAATACTAGTCCTCTTACGACTATGGCAAGAAACTTCATTCAACGGGCGGATCCCTTCTATCAAATAGAAACGGGCCCTATAGAGGCTTTCCTCGTCACAAGCATCTGCACACTCAAAACCTTTAGGACAGGAGGTTATGGCAAAGGGTCATTGAAATTGAGGCAATGAGGCGGCAAAGGTAACAAGTGTAGTCAAGGGAACCTCCTTGCCAGAATAAGGAATAACTGAAATAAAGACAAAAGAAATAATCTTTTTGTAAGGAAAAATGTAAAACAAAGAAAAAGAGTTGAGTAAAGTAAAGTAAAACCATGGTATAAAAACATACGAGGCCATTCTGAACTTTTATGAGATGTGTCAAAAGACTATTTGGATTGGGAATCATCCCTTAATAAAGTAGCAATATCAAAAATTTCTAAAAGAGTAACACTTGAACTACCTGGAGCGTCCGAACCAGGAAAAAGGGGTTTCGCTGTCACAATCGTATACGCAACATTTATCATGTGAAAACACCTAAATCAAGCTCCAAAAAGTTTTTGTTGAAAGATAGCAACAACAGACAAAGTGGAAGAAGGTTAATCTTTTAACAATGGTTTGAGGGACTCAACATAAGTTGGGACTTCTGAAGTGGGATGGGGAGGAACTTCAAAACCTAGGTGTACTAAACTGGTTATATATGATGACTAATGCGGAAATATAACGATCAATTGAATCTAAAGTAGTATTGAAGATCACACAATGTAAATAATCTCATTTAAGCTCTCATTAGATTTATTAAGCTATTACAAAGTGGGTATGCAGTAATTCTTTCACTAGACCAAATGCTCCAAATGTGTTCAATAATAGTTCTTATATAAATGAGAGTCACTCACTTCTTATTTATAAGGAAGATACAACCCATTACACATCACAAGAGGGTAAGCCACATCCAAAGAGAATTTTTCACCCTAACATTCTCCCTCTCAAAGTCAGGATTGGATGTCCAAGCTTCAATTTCCAAAAGAACTTGTGATTAAGACCAAATCCCCCTGGAAGTAGCACTAGTCTTCAAATTTGCTTTGAAAAATATTATATATAACTGTTTTGTGTTTTAATAACGTAAAGTTATAAAATAGTTTTCATTAGAGTTAATATAAATATATTTTTATATACTTGGTAATACATTATTATTGATATAAATATAATCATAATATAATATATTATTTTTGATATAAATATAACAGGTGTAAGGATTGCAAGACTTGCAAATTTGGAAATAACTTATCCTACGTGGCTTGATAATAGTGGAAATGTCGCATTGTATTAATATCAAAAGGTTCTCATATTATATAAATAAATTAAAACACATTCGTGCATTTACTTTAATATTATGATACGTAGGCTAGTGGATGTACCATAAGATATCATAATTCTCATATTTAAATTTTAAAAAAAAAAAAAAAAAAAAAAAAAAAAAAAAAAAAAAAAAAAAAAAAAATCAGTTAATAAAGTGAAATCTATTGAGATAATTAACAAAAATAATTGTTGAAGTAAAATTGACACATGCACTTTGCAATTGCATAGCGGCGGAGTCATCTTTGCAAGTTGTAACGAAAAATCTTAAAAAGCCAAAACTACCTGATTACCCACATTGATATCAGCACGTGGTCCACGCTTTTTTTATTGCTGGGTCTGAGTGTAATATAAATTGAATTCGTATTTTACTAAATAATTCGTCATAAATGTTATAAAATATTTTTTAAATGCCAAATGTTTTTTTAAACGTTACAGACAACTCAATATGAGATTGTTATACATTTTTTAGTATAGCGATTAGCTATATTTTAAAATATGGATGAGATTTATTGTACTTCACCAATATTCGTAATAATATTTTGTGTAAATTTCGTATTTAGATATTTTTTTTATTAAACTATTTATAAAAACTAATTACATTTTTGTTGGAAAAAAAATGAATATAGAATATATCTAGTTAGTGTTATTAAAATGTTAGGTGACAAATTATAGGGAAGATAACATAATTATCCTATTATGTATTTCGATTTTATCTTTTCAGTTTCTAAAGTTTTTTCGTGTCTTTTAAGGAAACAAACTTATTTTCGTTGGATCTATTTAATTCATTTTGACGAAATGAAGGGATGAACCTGTAACTTACTTGCCACCTCATTTAATATTATAATTTTCCAAGAAAGGGATTCACTTTCGCCTCCATGTCGATGACTTAATTAATGACGCTTATGAGCACTGCTCTCACCAACCAAGAAACATGTATCAATGGTTTCTCCCACGACAAACATGATAGGCAGCTTCGTGAATCACTTATTAACGGCGAGATCAACGCCAGGAGGTTATGCAACAACTCACTCGCCATGATCAAGAACATAACCAACACAGATATGGTGAATGATCAAGTGAAGATGAACGGGAGAAAGTTAAAGGTGTAGTGGCCGGAGTGGTTGCCCGTCGGAGATATGAGGTTGTTGCAGTCAGGGACAATGACACTTAATGTAGTTGTCGCCACTGATGGAAGTGGAGACTTTACAACAGTTTCCACCTCCATTGCGACTGCTCCTAACCAGGTACGTGATCAAGATTGTTGCAAGGGTATACCGGGAAAACGTGGATATCCCGAGTAATAAATTGAACTTGATGTTTTTGGGCGCTGGAAGATCTTCCACCATAACCACCACTAGTCGAAGTGTCGTCGATGGCGTCACAATGTTCAATTATGCTACTGTCGATCAGTACTGCTCAGTTGTATGATATCAATGTGTTATAAGTTTCCCTATGCTAACTCTATTTTTCAACTATTTATATGCAGCAGCGGTGGGTGATGGATTCCTAGCACGGGTGTAACCTTTCAAAACTCAACAGGGACTTCCAGGAACCAAGCGATGACGCTACGTGTCAAGTCAGACTACGACATCCATGCCCGTCGTCCTAACCCAAACCAAAGGAACATGTTTACAGCTCAAGGCCGGAGCAACCCTAACTAGAACACAGGGATTGTGATTCAAATTAAGATCAAGGATATGAGCTACGTTTGACCTTATACCGGTTCAAGCAAGCTTTCCGTCGTACCTGGGTAGACCATGGAGGAACTTCTTGAGAACGGTGGTGATGAAATCAACGATTAGTGACATGATTAACCAAACATGATGGTTTCCTTGGGATGGGGATTTTGCATTGGATACTTTGTACTATGTAGAGTATCAGAATACAGGGGTTGGGGCTAGTACGTCGAATAGAGTGACATGGCCGAGGTACATGGTGATTACTAGTGCGACGAACATAAACTTGATCAATGGTGGTAATTGGTTAGCATGCACCGACTTCCCTTTTTCTCAAAATGTTTGACTTTTAAATAGAAAATACTTAAGTAGCATATGTTACTGGCTAATATAGGTTAGAGGGACTAAATTCACAGGTCACTTCAGAGTTTATTCCCTTATAAAGCATGAAAATAATTTAAGTGACTGAATGGGTAAAGTCAAAATACATAATAGGGTCGTTGCGTCATTCTCCCTTAAATTATATATCAAAATATTGAAAACATAACCTTTATAATGTTATCAAAATTAGCTTTATTGATTATTAAATGATAATGAGTAATTTAAGAATAAAAAACGGTAATTATATTTTGCAATTTCTTTTAAGGAAAGAATTATACAGACATAATTGGTAAACAAGGAACAAGCTGTGTCGTAACGCCTTTTTGGATAGCAAAACTAATTCTTTTAAAAACAACATCCATAGATCTTGGGCCATAACATTACTATACATGATCCGTCGGACTCTAGTAAGGAGCTCCACGACATATGGCACAAGGAAACCGAAAGTATCAAATGCAAAAGGTATAAACATTTTTTGATTATCCATGCATGTTTTCTCATATTTTTCCACTTTGCATGATGCAAATTTTTGATGGGTTTTGGTCATAAGATATCCTATGTGCTCATACAAACCCTAATGCTTGGATCTAGGTTTCTCTATTTTACATGCTTTGAATCCAAGACTATAAACCCTAATTCTAGCATATGGAAATCGATATTAACATATAATTAGGTTTAAGATGTTACCTTGATTGTTATGTAGCAATAACAATCCCAATTCCACCTTGAATTGACTTTGGAAGGCTTAGAGTCACAAGTGTCACTCCTTTAATGGCTTACAAACACCAAGAGCAAATGGAGAAGGTATAAAGAGAGAGGAGAGAGGTTAGAATTCGTCCTTAGGACTCCTTGGGAAGGGATACACGAATTTATGAGCCTTAGGGTCTTTATATAGGTGTAGAAATAGGGTTTCAGTCATTATCCTTATCCACAAAGCAACCCATAAGATAATCCTTGAATCCTTATCATAGTCGAATTCTAAGGCCTTATCACCTTAAATTCGTCCAACCTAATAATAAGATAATCCTTACCTTATTTTGTAACTATCACATAATTACAAATCAGCCCCTCTAGTTTAATTAATTACACTTGATCACAAAATTAATTCCTAATTAATTATTGACCAATATTAATTAAACAAATATGATTTCTCCTTTAATATATTATTCTTATAACATATTAATAAATCATAATAACCTCTCTCTCTTTATTTATTTCTCCAATCAAGTTGCTTTGGTGAAGGCAACCCAAAAGGACCATGCACCATCGGGTCAAGTACATACCAAAATAGTTATGGACTTAGACACTAATCCAACACTTTTAAAGCAAGTTGCCCCATAGTGAAAACTCCACTCCTTAATCCCACAAGTACAAGAAACCTCTATTAGATCCACATACGCATGCTTCCCTCCAGTCTATCCAAAAACTAAAACATCAAATGGTCTAAGTGTTGATCTTCCTTTGAAAGGCCAGTAAGAACTATCATGGGTGCCTCTTTCTTGGTAAAAATCATGGCACGCCTAAATATGTCAAAAAGAACATCTCTAACCATATTATGTCAATACTTGAAACCCATGAGCTCTCTACAATGAATTGCATGCTCCCCAAAGGAGTCCAAGCATGCCTTGCGACAAACAAGGCATGTCTCATCAACCGGAAAATAAAGGGACCATGAGGCGATATTTGAGGATAGCACGATATTCCATTAGCGACATATGATGGACAAGACCATCAATATGAATAGGCATAAGAAAATCATGAGCATGTGATGCCCTTAGACACTTAAAAACTGCTTTTTTCCTAATCTTCATGTCGAAATGAACTTCCATGTCTTTGACAGTTTTACTAAAAAAATCCCTCGCCAATGAATGTTGGGATTTTGGAGGGACGGTGTCCTTATTAGTGAAACCATTGAATTCAAAACTCGGAATCGTATCACGAAGATAGGCGAAAGAATGTGGAGCATGGAAAGATAAACTTGATCATGGGGAATAGGAAAGCTTCACCTGTCACCAAGACTGGAGTTTATTCTTTGTTACTAAGTAGCGGGTTAGTGTTAGATTTGAATAAGTGTTTTTACTCATCCGAAATGGCGAGGAATATTATTTCTT